TTTCAAAAAAATTAATTTTCCAAAAAAAAAAAAAAAAAAAAAAAAAAAAAAAAAAAAAAAAAAAAAAGCACACAGATTGTTTCAATTAGGAAAAAAAGAAGAAACTAAGTCAAAGTTTTGAAAATTAAATATTTTTTTATATACATTTCTTTACTCCTACTGACAATGTTTTCATGAAAATCTCTCTGGTGCAGCGCTAGCTTAATGCTAGCGAGATTACTCTCCGTTTTTGATTTGACTTGTTGATAATTTGGCTCTTTTTTTTCCTTCCTTAAACTCAACATAAAATGTTTTAGAAAGTGCTTCAAATGAAGCAGGAGCTGAAGCAGTTCATTCAGCCCCACTTCCAATCTGAACATCATCAAAAAGTTACAAAAACTTGCAGAATTTTTAGGGTCAACCAAGATTCATCAGCTGAATAAAATGATCTGGGAGGCCAAAAATACAGATAAAAAAATCATTTAAAAAATAAATAAGCACATCTCTACAAACAAACATTGTTGTAATAAAAAGGAAAGATATTTATATTGAAAATAGATGTTAGTTTGTCACAGAATCGGGAGCAAACCAAAAGAAAAGATAAATGTAGGGCAAAATATCTGCATCTTACTCACGTCGTCTCTCTCTGTGCGGTATGGATTTATAAAATCTGGGGATTTCTCCGTGATTCCCAGCTCCTGTGACATCTGAGAGATGAACAGAAAAGACGCGGTGATGCAGGAGAATCGGGAGATGAAACACTTCTTCCTTTGAAGAGACTAAACATGGGATTACTGTTGTGCCACTGCAGAGTTGAACTCGTACTTTTAGGGAGCAAAGTGCAGCTTTGACCGCATTAATCTACTCTGTAATCCTCTCGGTAGATTATTAAAATTGCTGGGTAATCCTGAAAGAGTTGACTTAATTAACATAAAAACAGAGGGGCACCGTTTCATCAGCGGCGCTCGTCTCTGCTTCAAAGCCCAGTCTTATGCACATCATGGAAACAAATCAAAAGTTAATCCCGTTTTTTTTTTTTTTTTTTTAGCGAAAAAAAGGGGGGCTTCTTTTCAAAATGTCCCCCCGGAAACATCTAACAAGTAAACTAGATTGCATTCAAAATGAAAGCGAAGCAAAAACAAGGACAAGTTTCCAGAATGTTAGCAGATTCTGACAAGAGTGCTACTGACAGATACAGTCCATGACAGAACGGGACGTGTGTGTGTGTGTGTGTGTGTGTGTGTGTGTGTGGTCTTACGAGTGTGAGGACATGTTGGTGGGCTCCTCCTGTGAAAACTCCGGTCTGGTTGCAGAAATTCAGCCCCCAGCGCAGCAGCCCTCCCCAGTCGGCGTTGCGGTCGTAGTAGTGGTGGACGATGCGTGGGAAGCGCAGCGCCACGTCGCCGAAAAACGCCGTGTTCTCCACCACATGGGAGTAAGCTGTGAGAGGAAGAAACCGAGGTTGCTACACGCGCATCATGAAAGAAAACACGTTGACACGTGTGGGATGTTAAGCCGCAGCATAAAAACGTAGGCAGAAGGCAGAAGTAGTTTGTTTTTTTTCTTTGGCGAGAAAAAAAAAAAAGGCAAGTCAGACCTTCTTTGATCTTATCATCCAGAGGGAAGGGGTCATCGGGCTGCATGTTAGCTGCCACTAGGATTTGTCTGGAGTCCTCCAACACCTTCAGATGAAAGAGAAGAGCTTAAGATCAGAGTCAACTCAGACACTCTGCAGTTTTATCAACATTACACAACCTTCAGCGTACTGCATTGGGATTTTACGTGACAATTCAACACAAGGTAGAGTACAACCGTTGAGGGGAATGAAAAGAGAATCGTTTTCAAGACATTCTGGTAGCTAAAATCTGAAAAGTGCGGCGCACCTAATGGATAACTGCTAATCGTGCAGTCCAAGCAAAACAACATGTGCAAAACCTGCAGCAATGAAGGCGAATGCTGCGATAAGTGTATGATTTATTTTAAATAACGGCAATAACAATTAACTCGGTCACCACAACACCTCAAATACATGGTAAAAAGAAAGTGGTGGCAGCATCATGCTGTTGTGTAGCAGTGAATGGGAAGCCTATCAGAGTCGGTGAGAGAAAGGGTTCATCATCCAGCTGGAGAACAACCCTGAACCTAGTCAGAGCTGCAGCTTTTAAGTTGTTAGAACGGCCCAGTCAAAGTTCAGACCTAAATTCAATTGGGATGGATTGAAAATCCTTGAACAGAGATGCTCTCTATTCAATCCCACTGAGATCGAGATGTTTTGTAATAAAAAGAATGGGCAACAATTTATTGGTAAAAAAAAAAAAAAAGACCTACGGATCATATTTGCTAAAATAGGTGGTTGTACAAAAGGAGCTAAAGACAGACTTATCAGAGTTTTAAACAATATAAAACTGGAGTCTCCTATAATTTCCACGTCACAGATGCTCTGCACACACAGTGTCGCTTTGATCTAATGCTAATTCTCCCCCATCTGTATTTCTACGTGATACTTTCTATCCACCGACTGGCATCAGCGAAGCACTCCATCACGCCAACATGGAGTGGTGTGAAAGTGCTGACAATGTTTTTCCTGCCACCGAAGGTTGCCTGCGCCTGGTGTCCTTGTGCGGATGCATAGATAACTGTCTGCTGGGGGGAGGAGGAGGAAGAGGAGGAGAAAGTAGACTTGTAAATCAAAGCTCCCGGAGTGAAATCGTGCTGCAAGGACTCTGGATTACCATTCAAATGAAAACATTGTGTGGAAAGTGTTTGTATTATCCAAAAAAAAAACCCCCCAAAAAAACAAAACAAACAAAAACAAAACAAGAACGCATGACATCTGAACTCTGAACATCTGACACGGGAGGAAAACACAAGATGTCCCACCTTGAAAAGCCCCTTGAGCATGATGTCTATGATCTTGTACTGCTGGTTGATGTCGTTCAGCTCCACCAGGTTCTTCAGGGCGTTCAGCTGATCTTTCCTCTTCGTCTCAAACAGCCGCTTGTCTGACAGGAGGAGGTCAGGGAGAATCAGAAGCAGCACAGATCCCCCCCCCCCACCTGCCCTGCACACCGATCAGAAGGATACAGATCTCCAAGTTGGAGTCGTGTCGCGGTCTCTGCGTGTCGGGGTCTGCCGAGCCGAGGGTGACGGCGACGGCCAGGGCCAGGATCACGGCGCTCATGCTCCACATGGTCACCAGGGGGCAGCAGAGAAGCACTCCTGCGGAGGAGAAGGAGCTGTTGAACAACACAGCCACACAACCACGTTCCTCAAGAGGCTGCATCTCTCACTTCAGAGGTCGTTTCGGTACTTTTAGCACGCAGGCCTCACCTTACGCCACATGACCAGCGAATCCAGTTCAAACCACAGGACAGGAATCTGCCTGAGCCGCGTCCTTGGATGTTTTTCCTCTGTAACTGAAATGACTTTTCTCGCTCCTTCGTCTAAAGTAGCAACTTTAAAACTCTCCGTTACCAGAGGCAGCCGGGAAAAAGACTCAGTCTGGCTTCAGTCTCACACTTTTCTTACACATTGAGGCGTACTACAACTGTCATTATTTACCAAACACAGATTAAGCTAAAATAGAAAAGCAATGTGTGGAAAAACTATGGAACTGCCATCTGTACGACGTTGTTTTGTTAATTGTATGAGGAAATTAATTAAAGTGTTGACTGCTGGTTTGATGTTCTCACGTTTATCTCCAGACAACTTTGATATGGAGTTAATTAATCATCACCCCTCCACCACTGTGCTTGGAAACTTTGCTTTTCATGAAACATTGAACATCTCTACTTTGGTTTCATCTCTCCTCTGCTTATAACTAATTCAGATGCAAAAAGAAATTGTACTGCCGTATTCTTTTGAGAGAAAAAAAGGCTTTTGTTCTGGTAAACCATCCAAACAAGCAGCGTTTTTTGAGTTTTCTGGCCGATCACCAATCTTTAAAAAGCCTGACCTGCCGATTCTGATTTTGGAGCATACCTGTTGTTTTTATCTGAAAAGAAGCTAAAGCTAAATTCGCTACGTTGGTGACGGTGAGGTAAGAATTGTTAACCACGCATATAAAGATGTGGGCGGGTTTGCCTCACAGTAGAGCAAAAAGAGACAGTGGCTGATTTTCAGACCTTTATGGAGGTTGGTGGATAAGATTGTTTTTTTTTATCCAAGCTTTGGTCAAAAATGATGAACATTGGACAAATTTTCAGCCTTTTTCCTTTTTCTGACTGAAAACTGAAAAAATCTCAAGGCCTTTGCATCTCCGGGGTCTTTTGCAGTGTCTCTGAGCTCTGCACAGTCTGAACAGGGTGTGAATGTGCTGGAAAATCCACTGCAGGGAGGCTGGTGACCGCCTAAAATGTTTCCCACTGGTGAATGACTGTTGCTGTAGCATGAAGGACTTTGGGTTGGTTGAAAATGGCCTTGTGACTCTTGCCAGATTGAAAATTGTTTCCTTAAATTACTTGCTGATGTCTTTTAGTATTTCCACCTGTTCCAGAACAGCAAGAGCTTCTTACAGAGGTGGCAACAAATCTGTGATGACCAAAAGAGAAAGTGCGTCAATAAACTTTCCCTTCTAAATCCAGTGAAAACAAACAGGACGCAATTCATTTTTCACACAACGTTCCTCGGTTTTGTTTAAAAATTGATGACTATCTGGAATCTGCTGTGGATTTTTTCATATACATGTGATTAGATTTAGGTTGATGACATGGCAAAGCATTAGAATGGAAATATTTTTAAGCTTTTTTGTTCTTTTTAAACTAGAACTAAAACTAAAAGAACAGACCTCAACTCTGTTGTCTCGGTAGGTAAAACATTAACAGGCTACCACAACCCATCGGTCGTTCATTTCATCATCTCTCATGTTCTGGACCCTCCAAACATTAGTTTACATGCTGGGAACGTCACTGAAATGAAAGATGATTATCTGATATCTCATTCCTTTTCCCAAAGGAGTCGGCCGTCTCCCTGGCTCTTCTGATTCTTATAAAACATGCAATGGAGAGACACACAGGGGATATCTGGTCAATATGGAACAGCAGAGGGTAGCCGGCGTTCGTAAACGGGGCCCCTTATGCTCCTTTTAAGACACATCTGATGTCTGGCACTCGCTTAATCCCCAGAGGAACTTTTACAATCCCTGCACCGGACTCCTCCTCGGCTCAAGCCCCATTGACAACACGGGGTCTATATAACACTTTCATTGGTCTGCAACTCCTATTTTCCTTTCCTCCTCTGGAGCGTTAGAAAAACATATGAAAGGGACAGATAAAAACGAGGAGCGCTAAAAATAGAAACTAATAAATGGAAACCTCCCGAAGCCCATTTTTAGATACCATTAGCAGAAAACTGGAGGAGGACTGAACAATGCGTGATGAAAAACTACAGGATATAATTCACATAACGCATGCATAATTTAGCAAGGGCTCCATCGCCGAGGACGGAGGGAGGGCTCGGAAAGGTTGAGTGGTCGGGAGGCGGGCCGGGACATGAGAGGTAAAGACGGGGGCTCCTCCGGGAAAACAACAGCTTTCCTGGTGAATATTTCATCCTCCTCTAAGACACGGAGAGCAGAGCAAGAGCAACACGGATCAGTGGAAGAAGATAATGAGCAAGTGGGACTTGATTTCTGCTCTAACTGAGTTAATCTCTACAAGCTCGGGTGCCTGTTCTCCAATCTGAAGCACGAGGAAGTAAGCAAATGTCTCGGGGTGTGAATGTTAATTCAGACTTTGCCATTCCCCTTGAGAGTCTCACTCGAGTTCTATGAGGAAAAAGTCACACTTTCCGTCTTCGGAGAGCTGATAACACAGACAAACAGTAATCATTTCCTCCCCTAAAGCTGCCTTCTGTTAAACAGGAGGCTCCTGACACATCCTGACAGCTGCTTGGCAGCTGCTCAAACGCTCCAACTCTGAAGAAGGTCTGGAGATTTCATTTCTAGAGATGCGAGTGTGAGAATTTCATCTTTTAGCAGCCGTTTCTGCGTTCCGCGGAAATCTCTGCGGTCATTCGAGTGTCTCATCCGAAGATGAAAGAGCAGGAGAAGGTTTTATTTCGCAGTCAGCAGAAACAAGAGTTCCCGAAGAAAGCTGAGTGAAGACAATTGCTCATTTAGGGACTATTATTTGGACAGCCTCCAAGCTTTTTGAGAAAAGCTCCTCTAAATGACCTAAAGTGCTGAGAGGAGGCTTCAATATTTTGGCTTGACAGCAGAGGACGGCGCCCTCCGACCAAAACCAGCATGGTTACTGGCAGTCAGGAAATCCTGCATGATTCCTGCACACCGTCAATTATTAACTTCCAAACATCTTACTAAAATTTCAGACCATTAAAAATAAAAACATTTAATGTCATATGTTGTATTATTTTATAGTGATAGGGGTTTAGTATGAGGATAAAAAAAAAACCACATTGTGTACAAAACATCAGGGTTTTAATAAGCCTGGCGGGCCACCAGGCTTTACTTGTTCCCCACCAGGCTAAGCATTGCTTATTTAAGTTTTTTTTTAAGACTTTATAGTTGGTGTTCAGATATTAATCTCCCAATATTTAAATAGCACATAGTTACCAATTGATATTTTCAAACTTCCTGACAACTTTAAACATTTTTAATTCAAAAACACGGCGGGCTGCTGGATGAATGACTGTCTCAGCGCCCCAACCACCAGGCTTAGCAAGTTTTCTGGGGAAAACCTTGAAACATATTTCACCTCCTAACCCACAGCCTCTCATAAGAGATGCAACTTTGTAAGAATTTGCGGATTGGTTGGTTTTCAATCAAGAATTTTAAACTCTAATTAAGAATAAGCATTTTATTTTTATGACATTTTCGAGATACGTTTTTTTTTATCCCATTACACTGAGATCAGGATCTCTTAAGTTTGATAAATTTCATTATCTTAAGATCACAAAACCTAGTTTGTTGTGTTAACAGTTCAATTAGGTCATTTTCTCAAAGCGAGGTCTTTAGCTTTATATTCATTACATTTTTATCATATTATCTCAATTTAACCAATATCTTGGTTCCAAATATAATTTTACTATTGTATTAGTTTGATACAAAAATGTGAGATTTCTTTTTGTTACCATAATGATTTAATTCTCATGGTGATTATTTCTCATTATTTCAAGATAACAACATGAAGACAGTTATATAATGATAATATTTTCATTAGGTCATAATCTATCAAATGTCATATTTGCAATAATGTGATATTTATCTCATGTTTACCGTTTTTTACTGAGACAAGAGTTAAAGGTAACTTTGCTGTGGCATTAATCGGATGAATTGATTTTCCACAAATACAATCTCTCTTTCCTCATTTCTAAATCTCATCTTGTTGTGATTAAAGTTTCATGTCATTTTCTTAAGACAGCAAGGACTCAAGGTCATTTAGTCATAATTAATTTCAATATTTCATCTTGATTTAGAGTAATATATTGAACCATCTGATGCAAATGTAGTGGTAACAGTTTGGTTCGTTCATTATCGCGAGATAATGAACTAATGAACTATATTTGGTTCATTATATCACTGAACTCTATGGAGAACATGGTTGATTAAAGATCTCCAGTTAATTTTCTAATAATGAAGGTTTGATTAGGTTATTAGAAAAAAATACAGCAGGAAGTAAAGGATCATATGTTTATAAACTCTAATATTTCAAAAATTATTCTATTACACTTTGAGAAGTGTTTGGAAAAACAAACTGTTTTTGTAATTTTCAATTTTATATCAAAACCAGACTTTGAAAACATAAAAACAAGTTTCATTCTTCGTCACATACTTTGAATTTGTGCAGAAATCCTGATAATGTTTATCCCAGCCTATCAGTGCGAGAACAAAGTGCTGAGACATTAATAAGTAGTGTAAGCAGGACATTAACACCAGATCAATCATTTCTAATGTGGCGCGGGCCGCACAGAAACCGAGTATAAACGCAGCCATTAGCTGTTAGCAGGAAACTCTAATTACACAGGATGATAGTTTTACAACATCCAAGTCATCAGGAAATCTATCGGTGGGGGTTATTGGATCTACCCAGACCAATATCACAAAGGTTGTGACACATCACACACTGTGCCTCTTGAAAATTATGATTGGTTTCTACACCTCTCGTTCCATAAATGTGTCCCGCGTGATTCGCATTTCATTCTTCAGGGTTTAAAACAGAAGCAAACTGTACAGCATGGCTGATGTTCGCTGGGTCCAATCCAGGTCGTCTAACACATTCCTGTATGGAGTCCAGGATTCGATGGGTTTTCCTGATGTTCAAGCATCCAGGTGGGCTTGTTTCAGATTTGCTCTGAAGTTGGCAAGGTGTCCCGGCGATGTGAGGCCTAAAGATGGCGGAGAGCTCGCCAAAGTCATGTAAGCCCACATAAATCTCCTTCCCTGGCTGCAGATTTCCTTCTCTGCCAAACAACAGCCTCCTGGGGCTGAGAGACTCAAGTTTGGGTTTCGTGTGTGGGAGACTCAAGAGTCCTGCTTTGTCAATTAGGCATAACCAGCCTGTAAAAACGTGCTTCTGCTCTGCGGAAACAAACGCATGCAACAATATCCAACACACGGCTACGCTCTGATGCACTCTGCCACATCACCGGAGACTGGGGGGAACGCTCCAGCATCTATCTCATGAGGCACGCTGACCCTTGAGGTGAATGGAGAAGCAAGACGCACATCAGACAGACAGCTGGATGTGCAGCAGGAGGAGATGCTGCTGCTCCCCCTCAGGCTGCACGCCTGCTGTGGGAGGCATGAGGTTCAAGGACTGACACTTCATCTTTCTCTCTCTCTCTATCACAGCCAAGACGCCTCATCTCTTGTCATCAATCATGCAAATCCACGGACATGCGTAATGATGATGTCTGAATAAACAGTGTCACGCGGACCATTAATTAGATTGCTTAATTGATTACACGGTCCCCCTTTCTGACCCAACTATAGGGGCAAATATTCATTAGTTTCGATCTTAACAAAAATACAACAACAACAACAAAAAAACCTGCGATTACAGGGATACATATTCAAACAAGACTTTATGAAGGATTTAAGCGGCTTTTCGAAGCAACATTATCTAAGCAGACGAAGAAGGGATCAGGCTCCGGACGTTACAGCCACGCAGCCCGAGGTCCACTCACCGAGTTGTAGCGAGGCACAGCCAGCGCCGAGGAAAGGCAGCGATTAGCGGGCAGCGTTTTGCTCCACGGCAGCGCAGTTTAATCTCTTCAGATCCCCCGCACAAAGCGTCAAAAAGGAGTCCGGGGAGCCGCCGCGGAAGACGGGACATGCGGTTCGCCCGACTCGATCCTCAGGTGACAGAAGCGGAGGCGGTTCATTTACATGCGGCTCTCGACGCTCCACTCCACCAGCGCCACGATCGCACCGGCTGGCTTGACTTGGACGAATGACAGCGGCCGGGCTGGCGGGCGGGCGCTGAACGAGGAGGAGGAGAAGGAGGCGGTTTCCACACGGCGGGTTTACACAGACGCACCGATAGAGGCTCGTACTTTCCTTATTCCATGTTGATGTCTCAATTAGTCAAGTAAATAAAAATAAAAGTAAAATAAAATAAAAGATACAAAAATAAGAGGTAAATATTTAAAGACGGGACCAACAAAAAAATCAAGATAGTTTAAGTAAATATAAAACCGGTTTGGGAAAACTGTAGCACAACAGGGTTGGGTTCTGGCTGTTACACGTAGAAAGTATTGACTAGCTAAACTAGGCGAACTTTTTTCTGCTTTATCATATTACAGTTCGCTAAATTTTTCAGGGATTTTAAATTATGACGTATTTTATTATTTTTTTTCCGACATGTAAAAATCTGAAAAGTGCGGTGTGTACTTCTATTCGGTTTTCTTAAATATTTATTTTAAAAAACCCCTGCTCCAATGAACTTATTAAATTCAGCTGTTTTGTGAATGCATCTTGTTAGAGAACATTAGAGAACAAATATACAGGTCAGGAGTAATCTATATTCTTCACACTAAATCCCAAAGTGATCCAAATCTGATTTTTTTTTTTTTTTTTTTTTTTCTTTTTGCCCTTTTTTTTTAACCGTTTTTTTTTTGACTACCTCAAAAAAAAAAAATAGTTTT